TAAAAAAGATTTTACTTGTCTAATAATGCTGTTTAGTTTTTTGAACTTTGATAAAATAGTTAGATTTAGCAGAAAATTAGTATTAAAAATTACAGATAGTAGATTTTTTGTTAGGAATACATTTAGTAGCTGCATTAATAATACTAGTTTGAATTTTGTGCCATGCAGTTTCTAGTAATTCAGAGGTTTGGATTAAGGTAGGAGTTTTGTTTGTATTGAGGTTATGTATAACTTGGTTAGCAAAGATTTTCTATTGCTCTTTGTTCATTGCTTTGTAATTAAAAATTCTTTATTAAGTTCAGGTTGAATGTTTGTTTTTGCCAATATAGGCATAAGGAAAGTCCAAAAGGATATAAGAATTTTGTGATTACTTTGAGTGCAGTTTTCTGTATTATCCAAATAGAATGAGTTGAGGTATTTAAGTAAAAAAAGGTAGGCCCAGATGTAGTCAATAGTACTGTGATGTCTACTACTATGCCAAGTATAAAAAAGAGTGTTTCTATGATCTGCCTAGTTGTAGATATTGTTGTATTGTAAAAATTGCAGTAATTTGTATTTGATAGATGAGAAGATGGAGTTGTTAGGTGGCACATTGAAATTACCTAGTATTATAGGTAGAATGTTTCAGTTAGTTGCTTGTTGGATCTATTGAATAATAGCATTTTGTATTTGAAGTTTAAGTTGTGAATTTTCATATAGTAAATATATAGATATTATTCGAAATTTGTGGTCATGTTTAAAAAAGAGATCAATAGCAATAGCATAGCCAGAAAAAGTAAGAATATTGTATATATAAGGTGTAAGTTGTTTTTGAATCATAAGTGCAGTTCCTGCTTGAAACTGTTAGTACAGGACCAAAAGTAAGAAAAATAGTTTGAATTGTGAAATTTGGTAATAATATTGTCTTCTGCTATTTTAGTTTTTGTAATGCTGATAATATTCAAGAAATGAGAAATACAATAATTTTTCTAAACTTGCTGTTTAAGGTTTTTATTATATTCTTGAACATTGTAAGTACAGATTGTAAGATTTAAAGATAAGATGTTTGGAATCCTGAGTTATGTTAAGTTATTAGAAGTAGAAGCTAGAGGTGCTAGTATAGAAAAGACAGGTGTTGATGTGTTTGATTTTAGCTGAATGTTTGAATAATGCCAGATGGCTTGAACTGGTAGGATAAAGTGATTAGGTAATGGTTTAGCTTTAGATAGAAGATAAACATGAGCTTTGCTATAATTATTTTTAATAAAAATTGTTAATATGTAGTCACAAGCATTATCAGCTGAATAGCCAAAGCTGTAAATGTGTTGTAAGAAAAAATAATAGTTTGAGGATAAAAAAGCAGTGGTAGATGGTTGTAGAATAAAAATTTGTTGTAGCAGGTATTAAGTTAAATATTGTCATAGTATTGTTTGGCTATTGTAGTTTTATCATAACCTTCTAAGATGGTTTCTACTAATTGAAAGTAACTGTAGTTTATGTCACTTTTCTTTATAATTAGGTTAGTATTTGGTATATTATTGTTTATTGCAGAAAATTTAGAAGGAATAGGTATAGATAGATAATAAGTATAGCCTAATAGTTGTGGGAAGAAATATTCAAGTGAAGGTTGGGATTTTTTTTGGAAAATGTATATAGCATTTGCTATAATTAATTTTGATTGATATTGTGAGTATATAATTAAAATTATTTAGTTGTGAATAGTTGTAATGATAAATATGTTTTAAAAAGAAGCTAAATGTTTAAGAATGTGAAAGTAGAGGTAGGTTCAAATATACTAACTACAGATTGTAGCATAAGTCTGGATCATATAATGTATTGTGAGATGAGTTTTGTAATTCTTCCTTGATATGAGATGATGAAATGGAATTTAAGGAAGTAAAGAGTTCTTTTGTAAATTCACTCACCATATGCTCAGCTTGCACAGCTGCACAGAATACCATAGCCTGTCCTGTACATTGGGTCTGGCCATCATTAACCTGGTTTTTTGTATATTTTATTTAATATTTAAGCTAGCAATATAAAATTTTGTATATATATGTAAAATAGAATAAATAACAGGTTTATTTGGTTTAAAAGATATATTTAATTATAAATTGTTAAAGAAAATTAAATTTTCTTTAGCAGAATTTTGATACAAGTAATTATTGGAAAGAGTTAGCAATTTGTGTTCAGTTTTTTTTTTAATTTAATAATTTATAATTCTTTTTTATTTTTTTTAATTTGTAATAGTTTTGTAATCTGCTATTACTAAGGGCTCTCTCTTTAATGTCTGAATCTTAAAAATTCATCTTTGAACTAGGAAGATAAGCTTAAACTCATGTAAAGTTAAATAATACATCCATATTGACTAATACTTATATGCATTTAGTTGATATTAAGTTTTATAGAATTTAATTATAAATGCTGATTTATTTAAAAATACACTAGTAATATTATATGAAAGTTAATAAATTAGTCAACAAATAATTAGTATACTATATATTAACATACTAAGTAGATTAAAAGTTCTTAAATAAGAGCTTTTTGTTAATTATTTTTTATTATTAGATGTGTTACATTTTTAATATTAATAAAAAGAGCTGGTTTAAGAGCTCCTATTACAATGCATTTTTAAAAAAATAATTAAAAGTGTAGCATTCAGTAATTAATGTAAAGGTTTACTTTAAAGTTATTTTACTTACCTAGTAGAATTAGGAATAATTTTAAAATTATATACTCAAGAGTTATTCATGTCATGATTAGCATTAGCTATGCTCACAATATTAGAATCTATATAGCAAAGCTTGAAGCTTTCATTAAAAAATCAATTTCTGTAAATAAACTTCCACTAGTTTCAAATTGTTTTTAGTAAAATTACTGCCTTGGATCATGAAATTCTATTGATAATGCAAGAATATAAGAGACTCCAACACTAACCATTAAAGATTATTAGAGATTGGACCTGACAAACAAATCTCTACTTAAGTATTATTAGTTTATCTGAATTATCCTGATAAATAATTATATCTTGGATAGCTCATAATATTAATTTCTACTCAGACCCAATTCCTAAAAATTATGCTATTTTAATATTTACTTTAATTGCATGATGGAGTTTTGATTCCTTGTATCTAAAGGCTTTTTACTAATAAAAGTTTTTAATCCTTTTTTTGGCAGTCTAAATATTGTTAATAAACTATTAATTAATACATTATATACTTTACTATATAATTCTATAACTATTCTAATTTTTATTACTATGCTTATTTTTATTAATGATGATTAGCCATTTTGTTTTTATAACTATCAAGAGAATAAAAAAATACTAAATAATGATAGTAAGCCAAGCTGGTTAAAAAGACATTGTTCTATAAAAAAAAAGTAGGTAATAGGTTGAAATTAAAAGTTGGATATGCAATATGCATATTAATACTACACACTACTTACATAAAAACCCATATAAAAACCAACTCGCACATAAACCCTTCTTTAATTATCAGATCTATATTTATACAAAAGATCTATGAATCTAATTATAGGTTATAAAATTGGTAAAATAAAACAAACCTGGGTCTTGTATATAGCAGTTTATGGTAATTTCAAAAGAGTGCTATTATTGCTATAATGATAAAATTGGTTCAAAAAAGTTTTTTACAAAGAATAACATAGATTATGAAGATGTGCCTAAAGAACTTTAAGGTTTACTAAGATAGAAAAAAATGCTAATTTCACAGATCTTTTTTGTAATTTCAATATATTTGTCTTTATAGAAGACTGTATATATATAAAGAAAATGTTATTAACTTTTTTTAAAATATACAAAAATTTATAACATGTCTTTTTTATCATCTATTATTATTAGATGTACTTGTTGTATAAAGATATGCAACAAGTTATTCAGTATTTAGAAATTTTCAAGTTCATCATATCAAAGTTACACAGGCACTTCTATGGCTAAACACAAACAATCAGTATTATGTTAACATTATCATTAACAATAAAATGCTGCAATTATTATCTAAAAATAGTTCTATTAATACTTGTTTTCAACAGATTTGAAGTATAAAAGACTAGTACATAAATAATAATAAAAACAAAAATGAAAATTTAAATAATAATAAAACCAAAAATAAAGATACACTTATATGCAATTTTATTTCTATTACTCTTTTATTGCAAAGTAAAAATAATGTTATTTGTAATGCACTTGCTTATATGCAAAACAAAGCTATACCAATTACATAACCAAATATTAATACTAATTCTGTTAATAAATTTTGTACTTTTGGATATATTGCACATGTCTTCCTAACACTTTATCTAACTGATAATACTGACCTTTGTACAGAGTATATAAGAGATGTAAAGTCTACTAAATATTTTTAAAATATGCTTAAATATAAAGATAAAAGGTTTGCATAGCATACTCATTAGTGATAATTTGCATTAAATTTACAAATACAATAGAGAATATTGCAAGAAAGAAGAATTTATATAAAGCAAAGTTTAAGCAGCAAACAGCTTACTGTTAAAGAGATACTAAAAATGGTTGAAGAAAATAATTATCTGGCCAATTAAATTATACAAAATTATACAATACAAAAAAAAGTTTGCACAAAACTTGACAATTTTAAATTAAATGATAAATCAAATTATCAAACATAATTAAATAATTAAAATTGTAAGAAATAATATTTTTATATTCAGTGCAATTAATTTATATTGCCAAAACTTTACAAACTTATACTACATAGTAAGAACAACTAAGAGTATCTGAACAAGATTCAGCTAAGTATTGACATTAAAACTTAATTGATAATCTTTACATTAATGTATAGTTCTTTGAAAATTGCTTTAAACATTTTTTGCAAGATGTGTTAATTTCTAAATAGAATTTGAAAGATTAACAGTATTACTTTAAGTAGCAACATCATAACAATGCTTATATATATGGCATTAGAATATATAAAGATGCACCAATATTTGATGTTTAGAAAAAAATAAAAGAAAACAATAAAATAATGACTGAAGTAGTACAGTATCTAGATTCTTTGGTTACTATTATAAATTCAAAAATAGATGCACCTGTACCTAATTAGCATCTATGTCAAAAGTGTAACAATAAATTGAACAATGACCTGCAGAATTATGTTAAGTTGATTAATAAATTGCAATATCATACTAGATACAATGCTTCATATTGTCTTTGCAATAATCATGCAAATAAACAATATTGCAGATTTGGCTATTCAAAAGAGATTGTATAATATACCTTTATATAAAATAATAATTATAATCATTTAAAACTTGTAACAGCAAGAACTGATTCTTATATCAATTTTTATAATTAACTTCAGCTTCAAGGATGGCATGCAAATGTTGATTTAAAACTAGTTCTTAGCACTTATACTGCTCTTTAATACATTTCTAAATATGCAAGCAAATTTGAACCTTAATCTAAAGCTTTTTTTGATATATTAATTCATATTCTCTGTAATAACAACTTCAATAATTTGTTACTTGTCTTATTTTATAAGTTATTTTATGCACTGTTGCAAGACATGATATTTCTACACAATAATTCTGCCATCTTCTTCTTAGTATATTACTTTACTATTCTAGTTATCAGTTTGTATCTCTAAATCTTAACAAAAATGTGCTGTAATTACTTTGTGAAGCTAAAAATAGCATTGAATTTTTAACAAATAAAGAAGTTGGATGTACAATGCAATTACTTCTGCAATAGTATTGAAATTATTCCAATGAGCTAGAAGATATAACACTTTATTAACTTTATTTAAAATACAAAATTTTAAATAGCAGTTGAAAACTATGTAAATGTAAAAATATAGTGCATATCTGGCCTTGATCATTATCTCAGAAAAATAATTCTTATTGAGAAGAATTCTGTATTTAAAAGTTTTGCTTCATGTATATCATAGAAGTCTCTAGCAGCTAATTATAAATGATATGCTTTTTTGGTCAAACTTTTTTAAATATTATTTTAAAGAAATTAAAAAAATTCTTTTAATTTACTTGGTTTTTCTATAAATAGTATAAAGAGTGAGTTTAGTAATGAAAACAATAAACAATAAGTTAATAAATATTGTTAAAGGAAAATTGAATTTGCAAAATATAGGGTTAAGGAAAATGTGACAGATTGTCACTCAAAAATACCAAACATCATAAACATTGTATTACAAAAGAGGCAGATGATTTGGTAAAGCTAAGGCATAAGTGCAAGATCTTATTTATCACTAAGACAGTTTTATTATTATATTGGCTAGTACTAATAATTACAATTCTACTTAGTTTTCTCTATATTACAACTTAAAGAAAAGATGCACTTATATACAAAAATGGCACTTCACAAAAAAAGACAGCACAGGGCCCAAGATTAAACATTTTTCTACTAAACTCAACAGTTTCAGATCTGATATTGTAATTGGAACCTTGAATGGCCTTATGTGACACAAACAACTAGCCCAATCTGGCAGATCTATCCTAACAAATTGCTGATTCTGCATTATTATAGCATTGTTTCAGTTGGATAACTTGGCTTCCAAGTTTCTCAAGATACAATTGATGCACAATAGTTGGCTTGTTTCAGAGACAATTTTGCTGCAAGAGGGCATGGATCAGAGTGGCACTGGGTTAGAGCAACTCTGGTACCTGTTTTGCCCTTAACAATATAAAAAAATAAGAACTAAGTAGATGTTATTGATAAAAATAGACTTAAATACATCTATTAATAATTATTCAGACTTGAACTCATATGAAATAGATAAAAACTATAATTGGGCTAGTGATTTTAGATAACATTATTTGAATATCAATGTTGCAAATGTATTTAATTTCTTATAGAAAGTTTGCAACAAAGACAATATAGATTTCAAAAATCTAATTATCAATATAGTTAATTTTTAAACTTTAAATAATAAGCAGAAGATAATATTTAAACAGATTAAAAAACATTATATTGCATTAATTACAGATTCTAACAATATTGAACCTTTAAGAATTATTATTATAAAACTGCTAAAATCAGTAAATTATATCTGATTTTAACAATTTAACATAGACTTCTAAAAATAACAAAGTACTATGATGCTAATATTGAATTATCTATACTTATAATTGTGTTAATAGAGATTGTAGCATTCAATATTGGGAAACTACTGTCTACTCAGCATTCTCTATTTTTGTAAATAGCACTAACTTTGATATAAATAGAAAATGACTGAAACAATTACAAAAAAAATTACAGAATATAAAATATATTGTCATTGATAAAAAAAAAACATAATTGAATAAAAAATACTCATCTTAATTAACATGCAGTTATGTCAAGCTTTCTTTAAAAAAAAAGACTATCCTTTTGGAAGCTAATCTATAATTCTTATTAGTAATTTTGAATAGCTTTTACTAGTACTTAATAATTTTATATATGTTCAAACTCTCTAATATAGTTTATTATCAAATAATAATATAATCATATATATGCAGTTTTAAGAAGTTTATAAACTTGATGCTATTAAATAACAATCTGGTGATTAAAAAAATTAATACCATTTTAGAAATATTTTATTATATCTACATAATTAAGAAACTACAATAGATGACTAAAAAACACCTATCACTAGATTTTCTGATTTACTGAATGTAGATAGTTGCTTATTTTTAGATGCTACATCTCTTTTACCTCAAAAAGTTAATGTCAATAAAGTCAACTTTAATAAGCTTAGATCCTTAAACTGTTCTATTGCCAAAGTTCATACTATATATAATTTAGATAATTGTAATGCATTTAAAGCTAATTTCAATATGACAAAAGGCCTTAAAGCATGATTGTTGCTTACAAAAAGTGTATGCATTATGCTTAAAGCTAACTTATAGATTAAAATAGGATTAGTCAATAGTTTAATAGAAACAATTCAAGAAATATTATTTAAAGAAGGCAAATGCTTACTTTTTTTTCTAAGTTTAGTTTTTGTTGAATTCAACAATTACAATAACCCTTCTATTACAACTATAAAAAACAAAATACTTTTTTATAAGACAAACTTGAAAAAAAAATCTATTGTTTGTTTATATTTACAACTTTTTATTAATCTTGCATAGGCAATTACAGTTCATAAAAGTTAGAAATTAATATTTCTGAAGACTATAGTAGATTTTAAAATAAGAGAATATACTACAGACCTTGTAGCAATATCTTATGTTTATTCTCTCAAAGATATTTTTTTTTGTACTTTCTAATTTGAAAGACTTTAATATATAAAAAATTTTACAAAATTACAGAATAGAAAAAGTAAAGAGAAATGATTAGTTTTTTTAATAACATAATAGTTATAGCATATAATTTATTATAATTTACAAACCTTATTTTTATTTATAAAAAAATAGTTTTAGAAAAATGTAATTAAGAAAAAAGTATTATACATATTACATTCATTATAATGAAGTTTTTGGATTAGAAAAAAAAACTTCACTAAAGCTAATGATAAATGATTACTGTATATACTTAACTATATTAAACTAAATTTTAATAATTATGTATTTAAAATTTTTTTCTACATTGAAAGTTCACTATAACAAAAGTAATATATATTGCAAAAGTGCATTTGAAAATCACTAATATAGAGGTGTAGTGATTTAGTAAAGTGGATAAGTTGTCAACCTTTAAGAGTTAGGTTGGAAGTTCAAAACTTATTGATAGTGAAAATTTGAAAAACTATATATGTTATATTGATATTATAGAAGGTAAATAGCATTATAACAATAGCACTTCATCAATCAGTTGGGATCAGTACCCATAATACAGTTACACCAGCATGACTGGCAGGTCATGAGGCATCTGCACAATGTTATATAAAGAAATGCAAACTGGCATCAGATGGTGCAAACTCAATATAAGTCCTTATGGTCATATAAATTCATAAACTAGAAAACTGGAGTTCACTTGAAAAGACCTAAGTAGAAAGGTAGCACAGATTTTTAACAGTACTACTATAAAGGTAAATTTAGGAAACAGATATCAATATAAAAGAAATCAGATAGGCAAGAACCTCAAATGAGAGGTACTACCAACCAGACTGCCAGAAGTCCTAAACTGAAGAAAAAGAACCTTGAAAGCCAGACCCTGAGATACCAGAGACAGGTTATAGTCCTACTAGGCTATCTGGATTAGAAGTTTAAGATCAGAAGCAGAGGTATACTATAAGTACTAGAGATATGCTGTAAAGTTAATGCTAGGATCTAGATAAACTTTGCAAGAGCAAGCTTTGTTAACAAAAGACTAAATATAGTAGTTAGTTAGCAAAAGAATCTTTTGAAGCTCTACAGTCAAATAACATACTCTGAAATATGTAACAGCTTGACAGACATACAGACAGGGAGGTTATAGTTAGGTTAGAAAACACTTAGATGTACAGAAACTTGTGCACTATTTGTTAGTATAAGCATAAGAATTAGTGTGTTTAAATAGGTAATATCCTAGTAAATTGTAAATATAGCAGCCAATGTAGAACCTGCTGTGCAGATGGACTACTTAAAATAGACAACCAAAAGTTGTATATGTAGTTAGTTGTATACTCACCTTGTACAAGTTATGTAATTATAATTAAAATACAATAAAGGCAATAGCTACTAATAACTATAGCCTTAGCATAAGCAAAAAAAATCATTAATACAAGTTATTACTTAATAAAAATAATATCATATCATAAACAAATAAATGTTTTTTAAAATGATTTATAAATACATACCAATTTATATAACTTGCATATACTCTAACTTTAGAATAAGTACAGAAATAAATATGTACAAATTATGAATCAGTAACAAAATATTTATTTTTAATACTTCTGTACCTACTTTTTTGATATATTTAAAAAATATATCTTAAAGTTTCTATACTGTTTACTAACTTTTGCTATAATAATATGCAATATTATTGGTTAGTTTTGGAGTATTTTTAAATGTATTAAAAAAGTAAGTATAGAAGTATTAAAAATATATATTTTGTAAATCAGTACATATTTGACATTTTTTACAGATATAGCAGTATGTAATTTAATTTCTTAACTCTGCTATATTCTAATATTAACCTTAACAATATGTTGTGTTATTAAGGTTAGTATTAATTATTAGTTATGTCAATAAGGCTGTGTTTGTAGCAATTTTTGGGATTTATGCAAAACAGCCAATTACAATTTAATTATATGCTAAACAGATGAATATTTTGTAATCAAATATTTAGTAAAGTCTAGATAAAGCAGCCAATCTTGTTTAATCATATATTAAACAACTGATATTTTTTAATCAAGTATTTAGTAGAGTTTAGATAAAGTAACTAATTATGATTTAGTTATGTGCTGAATAAATAAACATTTTTTAATCAAATGTCTAGTAGGGTTTA